TCGAAACTTTACGCAATAAACTACCTATTTCCCAAAGGATGCCTTTCCATGAGACCTCATATTATCAACTAGTTCATAACCGTTGGGATACGTTCTATCGTCTATTATCTGCTTCCTATCCCACAAGATGCTTTTGGGCGGTTGGGGGCATATGGAAGGTAGATAGCAAATAAAGCCTCTATTAAACGCATCTGAAATCCCCATCCCAGGTCCTAAAAAATGAGCCCTGTAGATATTATTAATTCCTCATTCAGTTCTGTGACCGTGATTAGGCAAGAAACGATGACTGCGCTTTAGTCGGATTATAAGTAGGCACTTGACAAGATTCCAGAGTCCATACTAGGCCTTATGAAAGGAATCTGGCGATTTATGCGATTATAGTAGGTACCTAAGACTGGCTCAGTATTTTTTTGCCACGGCTGCGGTGAAAGCCTTATTTATTATATCCCATAGTTGGGCGCTATATACCGTAAAAGGCGAGGTTTCGGGCCTGTCCATCATTGACTATACTTCTGAGGCTTGATGTGGGGGAGGGTGGGTGGCTGAAATGCTTGAAGGTGTGAGAAAAGTTATGCCACAGGCAGTATTGCCCACGGGCAAACTTTGTCTCGTAGACGTCACCGAATACAATTTGTGGATTTGCTCGAGATTCCAAGTCTAACGTATTCATTTTTCAACCAAAAAACCCAGGCGTATCCAAATTGAGGATTTTGTGCAGATGTGGTAGAAAGTTTGAATTATGAAAGTTTATTGGGTAGGACTGTTTTTACATTTTCAGTAGCTTGACTTTCCCTTTTTTCATTAAGTTCCGCCAATTTAGGGTTGACTTTCTCTTCTTCGTCAAATTCCGCCAGTATAATGATGAATTTCCATCAATGGGCATCAGCTGCATGAGCAACAGGCGTTTATGTTGACGGGGTTGATCATATTTAGGTCATTGAAACAAATATAATTGGCTCTAAGTTAATATTTTTTGACCACTTTCAACACAATTAACTATTGAGAAGAAGGCGACTCGATCGTTGGTACAATACTTTTATTCGCCTGACGTTTCGATTTCCGTCGCGGATTCGTCATCAGAGACATAGTT